CTCCTCCCCGTAGAGGCGGTTTATACAGCATTGTAGGCTTTCACGGCCGGAGTCAATATTCTTCATGTTTTCCGGGCTTATGGGCCGTGGTCCAATTGGCTCTGAGATGCCAAACGTTGACTCCGGCCGTTCTGGTCTTTACACAATCCCCTAGTGACATTTTCAATTTCTTCGAAAGATGCTTCCAAATTTTTCTTTAAATTTCTTCTAAGAATAATATACCCTTATAAAGGTGACATAGATCCGATTTTTACGGTTAACGCTAAATTTCCGTACATTTCAAAAGTTTTTTTTCGGGGTCTTCCTACAAAATTAAAGATAGATTTTTCCTTGAAATGAAATATGTTGCGCACTATTGGATCTTTCATTAAGATCATGAACATTTTTTAACAAATTTTAGTATTTTTCGCACAATATTGCGAGCAATATGTGCAAATTTTCAAAATTACAAAAATAAGGTTATCTCAAAAGTGGCTTCAATTTTTTTCTTTAAACTTGTGACACGATTAGTGCTATTCTATGAGATGACATACACGCCATACTGCTCTATGCTTTGATTTTTGAAAATTATAAAAATATGTTTTGACTTTATCTCTTATCGTTAATATTAATACTAGCAAAGATTTGTTTATATTATAATTTTGATGAGTGCATGTGCTTTAAATATGGTCATATAACGTTTCGCGTAAACTCAAATCTTTTCTGTAAAAACTAGCACACAATTCATTTTTTCATCAATTTTTCTTCGCTATTCGAGGATCGATCGCATTCGAGGTATATCGGCCGATTCATGTGAAGGATGTTTGGGTAAATTCAAATGCAAATGCAAAATCCAAATTCGCAGCAGGTTTTTGCTGGATTTTCTCTTTTGTCTCGTTCGTGCGTATGTGGTAAGGATATGACAACGAAGAGGAAAGAAAGATCGCGCGCAATCCGCGGCCCGCTTATTAAGGTACTGATCCGGTATTACCTGGTGTTAATAGGATAAATCACGTATAACTACCGATCAGTGCAGCACGCCACTAGATTTCTTCTCCAGGCAGTGGTTGTACTCGGTCTAGCTACTGTATATAGCTTGTGTCGAAAATCTCGTCATCGTACTCTGGTCTCTGGGACTCGATTCTGTGGCAAAAATTCAATTTTCCAACTTATATAAATGAACTTTCTGAACTCCATAATGTGAAGTAAACACTTCAGAGTTATATTTTCCACTCACTTTGTTGATTGTTGGCCCCCTGTCTCGAGGCATGCTTGTAAAGTTGGTACTTCCACATTCGGACTCCGCGCTGAAGTGCGAGCCGTCAAGCAAAGGTAAATTTTAAGTGTCGTTGCTTGTTCATTCCGTTTTCTTCGAAATTGGCCATTTTGTTATCGTTAATGAGTGACATTAGTAGATGCCTTGAGTTACTTATTCGGTGCATTTGGAAGTGTTTTCTGTAGGTCTACCAGGATTTCTGTCGAGCTTACTCACATATGAGTCAATTGTTTCTATTTCAAATATCCAATGAATTAGGTTTCTATGTTTGAAACTAGTTCCTCTGCTTTGAGTATTATGTTTCCACCATTTACAGATTTGTTACCAACATGATAAAGTATCATCACAGCTATTTTTCTTAACATTTATTTGAAATATATAGAATTTGGGTTTTTATCTTAAACAAATAATTTAAAACATCTTCATTTAGACTCATTGCCCAAATTGTTTTGTTGTGAGTAAACATACCACTTGTTGAACTATTTTTAAGAAAATATTTTCCTCTTGGGTTGTGGTTTATGTTCATTTAATACCTTTGTGACATAAATATGAGCAAGTGAAGAGATAACTTGCTGCAAGTTTTTTGTGGACTCAATACCATTTTCTTCGCTCACAAGCTCGTTATTTAACACGTTGGCATTTATACCACAGCGTATTTTGAAGGATTGTAGTGATTTTCCACTTTCTCATCCAATTTCCAAAACAAGTTGTTGGTTAGCTTAGTTTAAAAGTATAAATTAAGTCCTATTTACATTCTGAAATAAAATTATACTATGGAAAAGTCAACCTTCAACAGTTTTTAATAAATATATTTATAACCACATTTCAAAAATCTTACGAGTTGAAAAATATGATATGTATTTTGTTTGTTATTTTCTTCCTATTGCTTTTGCAATCAGAAAAGCCACGCAGAGAAATCATTATATTCTTAAAAATAGCTTAAACTAAATGTACATAACAACTAAAAATATAAATAATACAGAATTGAAAAGACAGAAATGGTTTCATTATTCTTGACATGTCATAAACAATTCCCATCGAATGCATACGCAATGCATATTGAACTTCTCTCTTTATCAATGCATAAATGACATTTATTATAAATATACAATAGGCATTTATATTTGGTAAACTGAGATAAATGAACAGTTAAAATCAATATGACAGGAAAAGTCTAATTGGATCCTCTATTGATATATATGAAAACTCGACTCTATTGGGACATTGTCATGTTTCGCCTTTAACGTATCATGTGTTTCGTATCCAATTTATTGAATATGGTTTGCTATGTATTTGATTGCACAGCGTATAATGACTGAGTATCAGAACTTCATATTGCCCGAATGAAAACTGTACTCCCATTCTCGTTGAGTACAAAATACCATGAAGCTACGTTTCAATCGTTACCCTTTGTACGTAGAATTGCGCAAATACGGTCGTATCCTACTCAGTGGCCGTGGATGATGTTACATAGAACATAGTTATTTGAAAATAAACACGATAAATTGACTATGAAATGATGCGCAGAATTTGCAAGATAGTAAAAATCAATATAAAACAATGATAAATAACTCACTTGTGTTGATAAATGTAGGTGTGTTGAACACTTTACTCGAGCTCTATGTACTCTACTATGCTACTCTCTGTGTAAAATACACAAACGCGCAGTAGCTACTTTCCGATAAAATACTAACTGAAATCAATGAAGTCATTAGCGATAAGTAGGATTACCGCGGTACAGAATAGAATGTGCAGAATAGAATGTGAATAGAATAGTAGTTTAACAAAAAAATCGAAAACGTTGCCATGCATAATCGCTTTGTGGAAACTCCACCATTCTCTTACGGCCCTTACGCCTTTACAGCCCAAGGCTGACCTTGAAAATATAACGGTCTTAGGTTAGTGTCTGTTGTATAAATTGTGCATTCGGAGGAACATGATGCAATTGGCAAACACATGCTACAACATGGCCCCAACAACGCCCCTGTGCGCACGCACACGAGCACACGCGATGTTTATTTATATGAGCACAACTGCTTTAAGCACACAGCCTGTACCTTGAATATACTACGTCACTAAAGGAATACTGACGATTTAACACAAGAGATATTTATAGTAAGATATATACAATTTTATTAAATTAGGAAATTCAAGTTGGCAACGATAAATACATAACAGAAAATATTATAGCAAAGTGACAATGAGCTACTGGTGCCATCGAGTGGGGCGCTTCGTCTGCCAGACCGTAGACTCTAGTGACTCTAGTAGTGGCTGTTCTGCCACTGCTTGCTGGCGTTCGCCTCCGACTGCTTGGTGTGCAACATAACTTGACGGCAGTAGGGAGTGTCACACGGTTTAGCTACTTTTAGCAGAAAATAATGCTCATAAAACCATCGGTTGGCATTTTGGTTGGTTCTAGTAGTATAATTTAGCAACAAGGTTTTGGAGATACGTTGCGAACATGCTGTCAGATAGATGCAACAATGCTTCTGCGCGCACGGAAGAGACAAGGAGCATGCGAATAATGTTGAGGAATTAATTTGTGGTAAATCAGTTCCACTTGCAGCTCTGCGTTGTTGGACTACTTCCCCACGTCACTTAGGCACATTTCGCAAAAGATTAATTAAAAGTGACATCAACAAGATATCGGGAATTTTATTAAATTAGAAAGTACAAGCTCCCACGGATAGAGTTTATAAATAAGATAAAATGGTCATATCAAAGAGCCAATGCGTTACAGGATGCCCGCGGGGGGGGAGGGGGCTCAGACAGCCAGGCCGTAGACGGTGACGAGCACCACTATGGTGCTGTTCTGCCACTGCACGCTAGCGCTCGCGTCCGTCTGCTTGTCCCAGAAGCACGCGCTCGCCGTCTGGTAGCCCGAGCCGTTGCGCTGCAGGATGGTGCACACCACAGCGTACTTGAAAGGCTTCTGTAACTTGGCCAGCGCGCTGATGACCTCCTCGCTGACCTGCGGTCCCACCGTCCCGTCGGCGTCATTCAACATCAACTAGCGTATTGCAACATCTGCTACAACAAAGGCTGACTACAATTGACTCCGTCGCTCGCCTGTAGTCCCACCGTGCCGTTAGCGTCATTCAACATCAACTAGTGGATCACAACCTCTGCTACTACAATGCGCGATAGACGGGTGACTATAACGGCTGACTATCGTCAAGAGCTACTACAACAATACATATAATTGTAACGGTTACTAATATAATGTTTCAAGTTGAATCCTATTACTTCTTCAACTATCTCTTGAAAAGCTCTCTTCATCACAAGAAGCATGAGAGTTTCATTTGTAATTTTCAATATTGCTGAGATTTTAAACAAAATAGAACTTGTGCCATCGCAACATATGCTACTACAAAGCGTGATACGGCTAACTACAATACATTTATCAACTAGTGCTGCTACTACAACAACACATACATTAGAGCTATACTTGAAATGGTTACTAATATATTATTGCAAGTTGAATCCCATTAATTTTTCAACTAGCTCTTGAAAAACTTTCTTCATGACATGAAGCATGCGAGTTTCATATGTAATTTCCAAATTGCTCAGGTTTTAAACAAAATAGAATATGTGCCGCTTTAGTGAGCGAATTTACCTCCTCTTGAAAAAATATAAAAAAACAATTTTTGAAAAAGTGTTGGAAATGCTCGGAGAGCGTCTTGTCAAGTACCGCTAAATACTAAACTTTTGCAGGGTGTTGAGTGCTGCCGGATCAGTCGGGGAATTTACATTTTGGAGCAAGCTCTGTGAACGGTTTAAGCGCTAGTTCAGTATTGACTACTGATAGATTTCACCAAAAAACACAGTTTAATGTTATTCGTTTTTGTGCTCTGATGTAATGAGACCCACAAAACGCATGAATGTAGTTAAACGATACTGCAATAACTTTCCCTTAATCCCCGTAGTACATCGCACACAGTGCTTTGATATTAATAAATTAGAGAAAGAGACAGTCAAGAATTTTAGAAACGATGAGCAGTCGACAACACACTCTAGAACTTGATTGAAGAGATACTAGAGGAGAAAGACGATTCCTGGTTCGTTCGTTGGTCGAAATCGTTCAATGGTCATGTCAGGTGGAATACTGTATTCTGTACGGTAAAACCCTAATACTGGAAATACTTTTTCAGAAACGTTGGCAGACATAAATAGTTCTGTGATTTGTCGTTGGCCAAGCCCCACGAACCAGCTTGAGCTTTGTTTATGGTCGTAAGGATTTAATAATAACTTTTTATTTTGTTTTGAATTTTAATTCATTATATACAAATAGAGAAAAGAATTAATTTTCGATAACTACTATGATATTAACCAATGGTTACTCAACTTCATCTGAGACTAACAAGATCTAACAGTTCCTGGTTGATCCGGAGTTTAAGGTGGCACCAGTTCCTTTGTTTCACTTATTCGGTTCACTATTCTCGTGATTCAGAAGATTATAGTTGTGCGGTTCACTTCAATCACTAAAGAATAATTTTGCTGGCATTGATTCAAAATATAAATATATACACAATTTGACTATGCCATATAAAGCTACACATTTCGCTATTACGAAACATTTTTTCTTCATGACGACATATTTTAAATTTCAATGCACATTTAAAATGACGTACAGACGCAGATTTTCTTCCGAATCTCGTCAACCAGCTTGCAAAACATTCTAGTAAACCATATTGCGAACGAAGCCAAAGTAAAACAAGCGTAGCGTGGCTCACCGACGACGTCCACTTATTGATGAGGCGGTGGTCGTAGCTGGCGGCGCTGAGAATGCCGTCGATGGCCTCGTTGACGAGGGACGTCACCTCGTCCACCACGAAGTGCTCGTCGCCGAAGTCGTCCGCCATGGTGCGCCCCTGTCGACGACCCGAACGCGCCGAGCAGCCGTTGGCGCGGGAGGACGGTCAGCCGCGTGCGTCGAGTGTTCCAAATAAACTCCACCTTCTCCTGGTAACAGACGCGCAACAATGTGATCAAGAAGGATTGTAGAGGACGTGAACAACGTTGAGCCAAGGGATAGAAATCAGTGCAACAAAAAATCAGTAATCTGTCAACGATGGGCCGGAGGAAACGTAGACAGAACATTAAGGACGTTTCATGTTGCTTAAAATAATAAAAAGCGCAAAATCCATCTATTGAACACATTTATAAAAGTATTATGCTTACAGCATAAAATATGCTCATATTGTATTTGGCAGAAACTGACATGTTCCCACAAACCTTATAAAAAGAGTATTTTAGAATACTTTGCAAAAGTGGTATTACAAGTTTTCCTTTTCGGATTTTGCGTTTCTGAAGTTAATATTCCTTAATGTTCAATAATATATATGTATGTATGTATGTGTGGGTACTTGGCTCGACAGCCGGCAAACGGGCTAAGGCATATCGGCCATGTCCCTGCCTCGCAGTTCATCATGAATAAATATGAAATAGGTATTTTTAGACTAAGGGCGTTTTCTAATGATCTCGAGATACAGAAAGTTCTTAGGCTTTTGCCACTCAAATAAAATCAATTAACGCACTATGTACATACAATATTATATTTTTTCATATTTCTTTTCACAATACCTTTTTACAATTCCCTCCATCAGAGACCATGTAGCACCATTCCCTTTTTCATTTTGTTCTGGTAATCAATGCTCTTGGTAACTTTAGCAATGTATCGAGATCCAAATCGAAGGCAATAACAATCAATAAGTATTCGTAAAAATAACAAACAGTTTGCCACATTCCTTAGAAAAATGTAGTAGGAATGAGATTTGAAGAATAGAGTAATATTTTACATCAACTTATTAATAAATTACTGAAACAGTGTCAAGAATCAAAGCTCATTTGACCATTGATACAACTACATGGAGTTGCTAGGGTGAAATTCCCAAATAGTGAGAAAACGTCAGAGATCCAATCTCGAAATGTCAAGGGATCATTAATTAAAAGCCGCGTCAACAAGCCTGTGACCAATTCCAAATAACAATTTCTCCAGCAAATAGTAAAGAGTCCTGTCCTGTGCGTCCTTGTCTCTCGTCGACCGCCCCCTCCCACCCCGAGCAACGCAAGAGGGCTCGGGCGAGAGGGCTCGGGGTAATGAGCGCGACAAACGGGCGCGCGAATGAGCGCAGCCGCCCCCGCTGTCCACAATGGGCTGTTGGAGTGGACTAAAGCGCGAGGCGACCGGGGGACGCCGGCGCTCCGCTGGGGCCGGTGGACGCGGAAGGTAACAGACAGGCGGAAAGGAAAACGGGAGGCACCCACCGCATACGGAGTGAGATACGGAGAAAGAAATGGGGTGAGACCTGGAGTGAAACATCGACTGAGACCCAGTGAAACAAGGAGTAAGGCATGGAATGAGACATGGAGTTAGTCATGGAGTGAGTTGTTGAGTGAGTGATGGAGAGAGGCGAGGTGAGATGTGTAGTAAGACATGCAGTGCGACATGAATTGTGTGACATGGAGATTGATTGATTGTTTAGTGATTCCGGGTACGTCAAATTCCAGGATCATTACCCCGAAAGTGTAGTATACGTTTTGAATGGAGATGGCGGTGATCTTTTCTCGGCTGTATGGCGAGATCCGGCGCCGATCTTCCGTCGGCAAGCGGGGTTTTCCCCAACCAGGTTTCTTCCATCAGCAGGGCATCGCTCCACCCGGGACAAGCTTCCGACCGGTTTCTCGGCATGTGTGGTAGTGTAATGTAAGCGAGTGTAAGTAAGGGGTGACGACAGAACAAGAAAGAGGAAGGTGAAATCGCCCACGGCCCGTAGCCCGTTTGTTAGGGTGCTGCTGCGGCATTCAACTGGTATTGATCTGAGAAATCATAGAAAACTACGGATTAGAGAAGCCGGCCGCTAGAATTCTCCTCCAGACAGCGACTGTATTCGATCGAGTTAACAAGCCAGTGTCAACAACTCTGCTACTGTCGGGACTCGAACCTAGTACCTCCTGGACAGATTATCTGCAGTGACATCAGTTGGTGACCTAAGCCATCTCTTCCGGTGAGACATGGAGAGAGATATGGGATGAGGCATGGAGTGAGACAGAAGAAGAAATGGAGTGATACATGAACACCAAGCGAGACACGAAGCAAGACAAGGAGTGAGACATGCAGTGAGACATGGAGAGAGTCATAGAACGAGACACGGACTGAGACACGAAGCGAAACCTGGAATGAAACACGGAGCGAGACAAGGAGTGATACGTGACAGTTTCCAGTCACGTTTATTCTCAATAGAATGAACTATAGAGGCACATTGTCAGTTATCTCTATGAACACTCCGTCCACCCTGATCATTTGCAACAGTAATTGCGAGTTCTTAGAACTTCAATCTATTTCGTTTACATGGTGCCCATCTCCAGTATCGTCATTATGTGTTAAGCTGGCTTGATTCTGAGTAATTGAATTTACTTTCCTATTACTGCGATATTCAAAGAGTTCCCTGACTAGGGAATCACGATATCGTTATAACTCCAAATTAATTATCAGTGCGTATGTGAATATAAATGAAACTTACGTGTAATGAACTTTACACTTAAAACAGACTTCTGTGCATTCCAGTGTTGCACATTTGCATTAAGTGTGTACAAATCAGTTACAGTAAACAAATATTATTACCTCAAAGTAAATATAAAAGTAATCTGTTCTTTTGACCAATATCGTAACAGGTATAACATAAACATTTTAATTAGAGAGTGAGCTCTTTTCTTTACTTCCGTCTAATCAAATACAATTTTCAAATGTTTTTAAGCAGCCATATTCAGAAAATAAATTCCCCGTCATGTGGCGTTTCAGATTCAAAAGATTCCTGTCGGGTGTGTCATGTCTGCATGTGTTTCAGATGAACACATATGCATTACACATCTACTTTTGCATCATGAGAGAGGATAAGAAGAGTGTAGCTGCAGCTCGTTAGCATCCCTCTGTCCCTTAAGAGCACAGCTTTGTCGCTGAGAGATGTAAGATCACAGAGAATGCATTACAATTTACCATTCTGTGTGATCCTTCTTCTCTCAGTCATACGTGCTACCTCTTGGTTTTTGCTACATAGACAAGCATTCCCCATAAATACCTCCCAAATTGCATTTACAGAAACGAAATTATCACACCCATGCATTTATATTGATCCAATTTCTTGTGTATTGTTCTTTCAATTGGAATTGTATCATCAAATGTAATATTTCATTCAAAATTAAATATTTGTAGCATCAAGTAATACGTTTTTGCGTGGCACAGAGTTCCCCCACGTTTATAAATTCGTAAGAAACCTCGAATTAAAAATGCTTTAGTCAAAGGAACTTCTAATTAAAAATCCTAGGAGTAATGTAGAAGAAGTAAGGTGATTTTTTGAAATTCTTCTCTGAAATGCAACTTGTTCTTTCATTAAATGAAACATTCACATGTGGCAAAAACAGTAGTTGGATCTTGTAGTACACTAAAGAACCGAACAAAATTGTACATTGATGCATATTGAAATAAAGAGATCTGGAATCAATCAGAATACGGCTACTCTGGCGGATTATCATGATTTAAGTAAATTGTAACGTGTTGTAATAGCGGGCGCGAGAGATGAGGCACAGCATCGCCCAGGTGGCGATGAAATTTGGATTTTCCCGTAAGAGCATTTGACGAGTGTCCCGTGAAAATCGGGAATCCAGTAAAGTATCAAAGCTCCGGCATTTCTGCCGCTGCAAAAATGTCGTGCGAGAACGGGATCGACGGTGACTGAGAAGTATCATTGCATGTGACAGAATTCCGCAAATTGCTGCAGATTTCAATGCTACGCTATCAACAAGTGTCAGCGTAAGAAATGCTTAGCAAGACATTATCGATATGGGGTTTAGGAGCCAAAGGGTCACTCATATAGGCTTTATGACTGCACGACACAAGGCTTTACGTTTCACCTGGGCCCGTCAACACCTCTTAGACAGTTGATGACTGTAAACACGTTGCCAGGTCTGACGAGTGTACTTTCTTATTGTTTCGAGCGGATGGGCGTTTACCAGTATGGCAACAAACGTATGAATCCATGGGCCCTGCATTTCAACAAGGGTCTTTTCAACCAGGTGTTCGGCTCTATGATGGTACGGGGTACATACAGTTGGAGTTACATGAGACCCCAAATACGTATAGATATGACTCACAGGTGACACGTACGTAAGAATCGTGACCGATCACTTTCACCCATTCATGTTCATTGTGCTTCCCAACGGACTTGGACAATTACAGTAGGTCAATGCGACAGCCCTCACGCCATAATTGCTACAGAGAGGTTCCAGGAACACTTCTGAATATAAGTACTTCCACTTACCACCAATAACCCCAGACATGAAGATTTTTAGCATATCTGGGATTCCTTGCAACGTGCTGTTCAGAAGAGATCTCCACTCCATCGTACTCTTTAAGAGTTTATATACCTCTCTGCAATAATCATGTTGTCAATTACCTGCAGCACTACTTACTCCATGCCACGTCGTATTGTGACACTTCTGCGCGCTCAATGAGACCCTACACGATATTAGGCAGGTGTACCAATTTTTTTGGCTCTTCAGCGTATTTAGTCACATTTATTCACAACGTGTTGAAATCACAATATAATTTGCAAAGATTTATTAATTTAATTGCTTTGGGGCATTCACTTTAACAACATACTTTCCGTTAAAAATTTGTTTCGCCAAAAGTAGTTGAAATAAGAAAGTTGATTTTCGATTACGTCTAGTAAGATACCTGTCCTTTTATATCAATCATTAAACAAATAACAAATTCAATTTTTTTTCTAAATACGAGGCGCATCTAGAAAGTAAATGTCTCAACTTTTATTGCTTTGAAAGTGCACGTATTTAGACGGAAAAATTGTGCATGCGTAACAGACATTTGACGTAACAATCACGTCCCCGGTGAACTGCTTACTTTGAGTGCAGTGGCGCGACAGCAGTGACTGGAAATGGCGACGCCT